CTGTTGTAACTGTATACTCGATTACAGAAGTATATAACGATCGATCTTTCTCTTCAAATGTCTTGGAATTTTTATCGATTTTAGAGTCGATATTATAAGAGTCAAGAGAAATGCGATGGTTGTTAATGAAAGTATAATTTATAACGAAGTAGCAAATTTCTTATCCAATATTTTTAGCTCGTTAAACGCCGTTAAACAGAATTTTATTCATTCGAAAGTTATATTCGTAGCTGATATTTTTCTTCGAGCGGTACTTGATTATCTCTCATTAGCAAACCTCACTTACTTTCGCAAACTTGCGAAGCTTCAACTACGGAGACATCCTAAGTATATAATATCCATGAATACTTATATATACAGATAATAATATATATTCTAACATAGAAATATTTGTATTATCGCTATAGCTCGATGTAACATCTTTTAAAGTTACAACATTTACTAACAACTAAGAACGATATAAGTAATTTCAATAATGAGTTATGATCCCGTTTGAAATTGTTCAACTATCACCATTACGCCATTTGTCTAATGTAGTATCACGTTCGTTTCTCAGCTATAATACATTTCAACTATGTGAATTTTATCGATTTGACGTTATTCAACATTACTAATGCATACAAGCATTCGTAAAATTATTATAAAAATTCGTAACATTAGAGCAAGTTAACGTTGTGTCGAAAAAGGAAAAAGAAATGAATTGGAAAGAAAAAAAAAGAGAAAAAGAAAATGTTAAAGAGTAGTATCGCGTAAAGAGGTTATCAATGCGAAGAATTTAGCCGATTTGGAGAAGTTGGGCGAATGTAACCTTGTAAAATCTGGTTCACGTGCCGACGGTCAACAAAACACAAAATCGAGAGGTTAAGATCTCGTTTTAAGTCCGAGGGCTTATAGTCCTTTTCGCAGTTACTTGAAAGGTGGCGAACGACGAGTGGCGACCGGTTGAAAGAAGAAGAAGAAGAAGAAGAAGAAGAAGAAGAAGAAGAAGAAGAAGAAGAAGAAGAAGAAGAAGAAGANAGAAGAAGAAGAAGAAGAAGAAGAAGAAGAAGAAGAAGAAGAAGAAGAAGAAGAAGAAGAAGAAGAAGAAGAAGAAGAAGATCCAGCGTTCTCCAAGGCTTTGGCGAATAAGAGAGAAGTAAAGAGCAGAAATAGAGAGGAAGAGAAAGAGAGAGAGAGAGAGAAGGCGACGACGAGAGGCAACGGTGTGTGCACGTGCACCTTCGGGCATTTGCGGCTCGACAGTCGGCTCTCGAAACTCGCACGGTGAATGCCTCAAGAGAGGCTCCTATTCGAGAGAGAGAAGAGAGCTACTACTCCTCTTTCGCGTGACTTTCGACGGGCTCAAAAGGTCAAACCTGATCTCTCAAGAATCTTCAACGAATCTGTCCTTTAAAAGCGAGAAAATACCGGCCCCTCGATCGAGCCTAAGTGCCTTCTTACCTACGAGACAGGATAAAGGATAAATTGTTAGTAAGAAAGATAGAGAAAGAGTAAAAGTAAGAGAAAGAGTAAGAGAGAAAGAGAGATGTTAAAGATGTTTACTTTTAGACATTTATTGTGTGAGATAATCGTGACATGTGACAACAATATTATTTCGAGATTATCTTTCAGTGTTTATATATATATATATAATATATACATATATATATATACATTTCTGTTATTGTCACATTTTTCTTCGTAGATATATCATTCATTATTTCTTAATATAATAAGCAAATATTCTTGTTGGATTATTCGATTAACAATTTCAAGCGAGATAATCGAGTTTATTCTCGAGAGAGTGCGAACATGCGAAGTGGATCGGCTTTTCATTTACCTCGAGAATTTGCTTAGCCATTCGTCTTACGTGGGAAGAAAGCTTATTCACATTGGTCGGTATGACGCTTCATCGACGGGATTAATGAGAGCCTCGTTAAAGTTACCTTATAAAGTTTTACGATTCCCCTTCTAATTATTACTTTGGATTTTATTTGTTTTTTGTTTTTGTCATCTTCTTTATTTATGAATATTTCAAGATTTATTAAGAAACCGTAAAAGGATATAGTCTAAAAAGTGATTAGTGAATAATCAAGTAGATTATTATTAACTTGTAACTTCGAAGTTCGTATAGATATAACATCGTATTAAATAGTCTTTTACAAAGCTTTCTTTTACGTTTACATAGTTGTCAGTGAAGGTTATTAATCGTGAGAAAGCGTAGTATGGACTAAAAAATCATAGCCTATGTAAACATAAGAGTCACTCGTCAAATCAAAACAATAATTATTGTCAATGTTAATTATAATGTATTAGTTTGATAACACGATTTCCATTTGTATTTCACGTACATTGATATGAAATATAATTACAAATTAATAATATTTGTTGGTTTTATTCTTGTTGGGGAGTTAGAAAGAAATTTTTCCTCGTATCACCGTTATTGTATCTTTCCGTGATTATTTTTTTCCAGTACGATAAGTCGAGTAGAAAAAATAATTTAAATGACTTTTACTAATGCTCCCGATGCGTAATACGTAACGGTTTAGAGAGTTTTTCGCATGTCAGTAGATCAGTGGGCTTTCCTGGAAGAAATAATTTATTCTTTTCACGGCTAAATTATTCGATGTGGTTTCGCAAAAGGATGCACTAGTCGCAGCAACGTAATGCAGCAAAGGCAATTTCTCAGCTAACCGTTCTTTTAATTTCGTTAGTCGATTGTCTAACGTCAAGTTTATCGAACTCTCTTTTTCAATTGTCATTCCACCGAGAAAACTGATCCATTTCTTCGATTCGCCAATTATTTTGTATCTTGGAAATAATAATAAAAAAAAAATTGAAAATATATACGCTAATGAACAACATTCGAGTTCCTCGTAGAAACTTTCTTTATTACATCAATAAATAAATATTTACGAATAAGTGACTCTATCGCATGAAATAATGATCGAGATTACCGACAAGTTTTAAGCTCATTATTTTCATTTCCGCTCAGCGTACTTCCGATTGATCGCTGAGAAAGATTAATGATCACGCGCTTGGTAATGTAAGAGTATCCTTAACGATTTTAAGTATTCCATTTTCCATTCTCTCATAGTTGTAACGTGAAAGAAGAAGAAGAAGAAAAAGAAAAATAAAAAGAAAAAAAAGAAAAAAAAACCCAGAAGAAAATAAGCAATGTATATCGATACGTGCTATGTTACACAGTGCTATTCGACGTAAGTTATTCAAACTGAACAATAGCGTACTAGTAATCATACGTAAAGTTAGCAAGAGTATCCATGATTTAAAGGAAGAGAGTAAGAAGAAATAAAAATAGAAATAGTAAGGAGAAAAATAACTAGACGCAGATAACCTTTCGTTGTGTCTGACGGGCGCGCGACAGGATGTAGGACCGCTTGAAAGGAGCGAACATCGTCATACTTCTTGCACAAAGTATGGGAATCCGTTCGTTAGACGACGACGAAGACGACGAAAACGACAACTACGAGAACGGAGACACGTTTTTCACTTCTAACGACATTAACGGTCACCTTATCTTTTTTTTCCTTCAACGTGTATTTAACGACGTGTAAATTCGTCTACGTCAAAGGTTGCTACTGGTTTCCTACGACGAGACGTCATACATGTATCGAACAAGGAATAACAACGCGGGTGATCCTAGAAATGAAAATACCGTAATTTTGGAATGAACATTATTGAATAAGAGATTGGAATAAGTTGTGGAAAAAAAATAAAATGTGCATTTTATACAAGAAAATGATGGTGTTTAGTGATACGTAAAATGAAATTACAGGAAACGCTGACTCCATGTTTGCACGTTTCTTCATAGACAAAAGAAAAAAAATATGAAGAAGGATCGCATGATGCTTTATGTCTTCGTAAACTCGTAGGATGGGTTTGAATTAGAGAGTGGTATACGTGGGTAGTACCTTCACCGTGAAAGCAGAGAAATTCCATAGAATAATTTTTTTAAATTTTGATATTAATAAGATAAATTGATTATGAAACTATTTGGGATAGAAAAACAAAAACAAAAAAGAAGTCAACGTTCGATCTATCTAGGAAATTTCTTGGAAAATTATAACCACGAAGGACTATCTTCTTCTCAATCGTATCGTAATTCTTCATTCGCTAATAGCGATGAGCAAGAAACTATACGTATCGCTTCGGGGTGTGTTCGCGTATGGGCCTCACTATGAAGCTATGAAATTACATGAACGTACTACGTTCCCACGTACGAATCGTGAGAATAATTTATGGACGTCCTATGCGCAATATCTTAATAAACTCGGTTCATAAAAGTGCGACTTTTAGTCCTTTCGCTGCTCAAGGAAGTGCACCACTCGCCGTTCCGTAAATGCTACTTTCGAGTCGTTGCCTCGACCTGTAATTACGCAAGTGTAAACACTATTGCAGGAAAGAAACAATGTGATACAAGAATAGCGATAATTTCGTTTGAAGAGGACAGGAGGAAAACGTGTGACCAAATATCATTAGGCAGAGATATTATTTTTCTTACGAAAATTTAAACAAGCTAATATAATTGTGTGTTGTTTCATGTTAAGGATATATATAACGTGTGAAAATATTACTTATAATAAAGAAAGAAAATCAAATATAAAATAACAGGCGTGTGTATCTAACGATTCGTGTTATGAGTATCAAAAAAGTATAAATGACTGCCACATTGGAAAGTGTTACGTATGCCATGATATAAAGACAAAGGAATATGTTTCAAGGCCAGGGCCATTGAATTCATACCATTCTGCAATCTCAAGATCTCACGACCTCCGGTGACCGAGTCATGCTATCTTGATAATCGTAAAGTTTTGCATAGTGTAATATATTTCGTGTTAACAGAATGATATGAGATTGTCTATTTGAATTAAGATTGAGATTACACACAAATGTGATAATTCAATGAGCTAAGAAAATACATAATACGTTTTATCGGATGTTTCCTTGCGGAAAGATACAAAAAATCATTAAACAAGGTATCAAAAACAAATTTGAACATAATGGGGAATTCAAGATCGCAACCTTGCCGACGCAACAAACCACTTTATTTACTATACCTCATTCATCGAACTTGGTCTATAGTTGCTGATCATCGAAAAACTCAAAGCCATTGCGATGATATCGATCGAGAAATAGAACTATCGTCAAGATGCAGCGGTTGCAACGATTGTGCTTACCGACAGGACAGTCTCGCATTCGATAGGTAAGATTTCTTCAATTCAGAGTTTACTTAGTATTTAATGTTGATAAAGTAGATTTGCTATATATCGAGATGCAAGAAAAACAGTGAAATGCTGTTTTAGATGCAGTCGGTAAGGTAGTTGTTTGCACAATGAGAGGATTGCCATGTGAAACGCATTTTATATTATTTGGCATGCATTTATCGATACGGTTAAAATAGCCGGTAATAGTGAGTACTTCTTTATCGAGTAACAAAAGCAAAGATGTTGGATTCAGAACTAGTAAAATTGCTAGTAATAATCAGTCTCTGACATATCGATTTATATGCTCCTTAAAGTATTACCAAAGTAGATTTCTATTTTACCAGCCTTGATACTTAATTGGTAATAATAAATCCTTTTATATATATATAGTTTGCATGCTTACCCGGGAAAATAGATTTGTTTTAATCGTAGTGTAGTTGGACGATAATAGTAGAAGTAGTAAACTTTAACAGTATTAATAGAATATGCAGTTAATCATTTATTTTGTTACTTTATTAATTGAGTTAAAATGATCGTTGAACACAATAAAAATAAAGCTTATTTTTAATAATCGAGGGAAATATTATTGGAAGTTGTAGAACGCTGTTTAATTGAATTGGGATGGAAATTCTTGATGATTATTTCATATATACCAAAGTTATAAAAAAATTTGTATTATCTAATTGTTTTTCAACAATCTTACAATATTAACCCTTTCACTACTACGGACCACTATAGTGGCCCTCTGTAGAATATCGCGTATTTTACATACGACGAGCATATGCAGTTATAGCACGTCAAATATCCCACTCTATACGTGTAATTTTAGTGTTTTGTTTCTTTTGATTAAAAATCGCTAATATCAACAACAAAACTACTTAAAAATAAAGTGCAATTTCGATGCTGCACGTATTAGCAGCCCGTACAGTAGAAGTAGCACCGCGGAAAATACGCCCGTAGCGAAAGGGTTAAAGAAATAAAAAGATCAATTTTCTTTTAATAATTTTATATTACTCTCAAGAAACACAAAATCATTTTGAAAATTTCATTAAAAAAAAAAATATATATATATATAACAATACCTATGAACCTAAGAAAAAAAAATTGATCTTGTCTAAATGTTATCATTTTACATTATAAAATGCAAAATCGCTTATTTAATCATAAACATAAAACGCGATAAAAGAAAAAGAAAACCATCTTAAGTCTATCATAAGTATACTTCCATTCATTTTCATTTTCTAATATTAGAAAAAAAGTAGGTAGTGAAGAAGGTGGCGTAAACATTATACGAGATAGATTTAAAAAAATAAAAAGAAAAAAAGCGAACACATTGCTGTCTTCTTGACTGAACGTAGATTATCAGGGATAATGATCTCCGTGAACATCCGCTGCGTCACGAGAAGGCTGGCCCAGCAAGCATCCAAGTATTATCAGATGTATCCTATATATATCTGTTTTATATGCACCTTAAATATAAGAAAGAGAGAGAGAAAAAGAGAGAGAAATAGAAAGGAAGGGATAGAGGGGGAAGAAAGGGGATGGGGGAATAAAACGACAGAGGGGATAGAAAAGACAAGAAAACGGTTGATTATCAACTAGGTATAGTCTTCTTTCGTTTTGTGTGTCTCTTCCCTCGTAGTCAGGAGTTTGGTTGCGCGCGCGTGTGACGCATCGGGGGATAAACTCGGGTAAACTTGGTTGGAGTTACAAGCAGGTGGAAGCGCCGGTGTCAGTAAACCTCCGACTGTCTCGAAGAACAGTCGATCGATCGATAGAAAGGAGGACGTTTATGATTGGATCCTTTGGTGGTATTACTTTGAGTGAAGTTCGATGATCGATCAATTGATCGAATTTGGGATCATGATAATAATACGATTTTTCACGTGAAAGTTTTATTCTATTTAACTTCTTTTATGTCATCCACGAAGACATGCTCCGTCTCCGGAGAAATTAGGCCCCTTGGTGTCATCGTTGAAAAAATATCAAGGTAAAGTTATGGGAAAGAGTAACATTGATGATTCATTTTCCATTCTAAATCCTTACTTATAAGGATATATATCTTTTTTTCTCTCTTTTATTAATCTTCTCAACGATTATTTTCATAAAATATTACAATTTTACTTTGTACAACATTTATTTGAACGTGTGGGAAATTGCGTTGGCGATACGTGGGTGATTACGATAAACGCAATATCCTGACTGTTATTTCATGGATTTCATAAACGTATATTACAATCTTACCGTTAATATTTGATAGATTTACTACGATTAATATTGTTTGTAAATAGAAAAATAAACGCATTATAAAGAAATTATCATTTTTCTATTTGAACGAAAATCCAAGAGAGATAATTTTCTTCATTCCTATCTCCGTTAGTTTTGAAAAAAAAAACGTAACAATGGCAAGTGCAATGTCCCTTACCTTGGACAGAATTTTCTCGAGGGACCAACGCGATTAAAACTTTTTCAACGTGTTTCCGTTAATGGAAATGGCATTCTTGGATTTTCTTTCTTTCTTTCGAGAGAGCCTGTAATGAATTTTTCTCTTCTTTCATATTCTTTTCTTTATCGTTGATAGAATAAACTTTAACGAGACAAACCTTTTCATTTCATTCTACGCACAATGAATTGTAAATAGTGCACACACGTTTGTTGTTTAATCGTAAGCACGCATACGCTCGGGAAGAACCCCGCGAACGTTTGTTTTCTCGCGTGTAAAAGTCGACAAAAAAGCCCTCGGTCGTTACTTACGCGCCAATTACCGACGATTACAGAAATGCCTTAGCTCTTTAACACGAAGTCACGTAGCCTATTTTTCGCACATCATCGGTTTCTTCATTATTACTGTTATTATTGTTATTATTATTGTAATCAGTAACATTAATTATATTATTATTATTACTATCGTCATCGTTCATATCCAAAGGAAGTATTGTTTTTGATCCAACAGATCTTATGACGTGACAAAAAATCAATTGACGGAATAAAAGAGATCCTTACTAACTTTGTCAACGTTGTCTTACCTTCTTCGTAGTTCTGAGTATGTAAGATATTTTTAATAAAAACAATCTTTTCCGTTCTTTTTTTGTTTCCATTTTCGTTTTATGAAACTTATTTCGAAAGATATATCACATTACTTATGGAATATAAATGTATTGTAATATAATATACATTTAACACGAATCCGTTAATGATGATATCAAATATATATATATATATATATTCCATGTCTCAAATATAATGACCAAAAATTCTATTCATAACGGTATATACGAAAATATTTAACGGCATTTTCGAAGAATTTTAAACTTGTAAGTGTTACGAAACCAGTTAGACTTTGATCGGTTCGATGTACTCTTCAAAAATATTATTGGATAGTTTCTTAATAAAAAAAGATTAAGATAAGAAAAAGAAAAATAAATGAAGTTGCACAGAAAACTACGATATCCAAATAAGAAAATCATGCGTATTCGATTTTCCAAATCAGGAAAGAATAAACATCGTTTTCTCTTACATAGAACAACATACATACATATATATATACATACATAGATAGAAGTCTTCGACGAGATACAACGAGCTTCGAACTAGGGTCAATTAAATCGAATCCTGTATTCGATACAATGGACGTTATAATCCTTTTAGCGTACTAAATCCTTTCTACACTTAGTTCTAACTGTTTTCAAGTTTATCAGGTAGTATAATCCATTTCTTAAGACGCGCGTTTAACTCGCGCGATACTACTTTCTGATTTTCAAAGGAGACTCGTTAGATATAAGCTTGTATTACTCGCTACCAATTTCCGTTCTACACGATGTTCCGTACAATTTAATACCTTTTGATTCTAATAAACGTTTCGCTGTTGGTCGCACCGTATCGCGACTCTTTCTACTAGAACGAGCAGAAAGATCGATTAAAAGGGTGTCCTTTTGCTCACGATAAAGGAGGGAGAATTAAAATGCGAGACTTTATTTTTATACGATGTAAAAGAGAAAACAGAATAACGAATCGCTATTTTTCTTTATCTCTTTCTATATTTATTTTGCATTGCCATCTCTCATGAAAATCGAATGAACCACGTTATAAAACAAGAATGCAAATCACCTTGTCGCACTTAATTAACGAGTAATAATTGGCCAGTTAATATTACGAATAATTATAACTCTAGATTATATATAGACAAAAAAATTAGGTTTGCAAGAACGGTGGCCCGACCGGTTGTGTGTGTTTGTGTGTGTATGTGTGTGGTTACCTTTTATAAAACATCTATCTCTTACCTTATAATATAACTTTTATACCACGCGAATGTATTATAACAACGTGTACGACTAAAATAGCTTCTATTAATAGCGCCGTTTAATTAATTGGTGGAGTCATACACTCTCTATGGGGTCGCTGCTTATGATCGTTTCTAATGACTTTTATTACGTATGTAATTGCGAACTTCAAATCAGACTCTTCACATGTTCAATTCGTTATATATTTTAAATAATAAGAATAATATATATGTCAATATTAATTACTGAATGATTTCCGCGATATTTTAACATAAACATTTAAATATTAATGAATTCTATCACTTTTATCATATCTCGTATAGAATTTTTGTCCTAGTTTTATTTATTTTTTCTTTCTAAACTTTCTATTAATTGCTGCTTTCAATTAATTTGAAGATAAATATAAAGAAATCAGGAAATCGAGTAAGTAACACTACGAAAGTTCGAGAAGTATGTTAAAAAAGCTTTATTATACGATCGCTTAGGAGAATCTTGCTATCCATTAACGCATTACACGGAGTATTGCAATCGTAAGATCGGCCAAATGCAAATTACCATAGGTCGCTTAATGAAGGAACATTAATTACGTCTCCGATAAGTCGAACGATGGAACGATGGTATAGGTAGATGATGAATTTCCTTGATGGGTCATCGGTCGTATCGAAATCGTTTATATCGTAACTCGACAAATGATCGTAGTAACAAATGTAACGATCGAA